AGCTTTTGACTTCGAAATGTGCTTTGCGCCACAACGGCGTGCACTTTTTCGACATCTCAACTTCCAAAGGGAGGGCTAATTATTTTAGGATTTTTTTTTGATCAGGTTTAGGAATTATTTTTGGATTCCTGCTTCTCTGCTTTTCCTGCTTTTCCTGCTTCTCTGCTTTCCTGCTTTTCCTGCTTTTCCTGCTTTTCCTGCTTCTCTGCTTTTCTGTTTTTTTGCTTTTCTGCTTCTCCTGCTTCTCGCCTTTTCTGCTTTTTTGCTTTTCTGCTTCTCCTGCTTCTCTGCTTCTCTGCTTTTCTGCTTTTTTGCTTTTCTGCTTCTCCTGCTTCTCTGCTTTTCTGCTTTTTTGCTTTTCTGTTTTTCCTAGTTCTTTGCTTCTCTGCTTTTCCTGCTTTTCCCGCTTCTCTGCTTTTCTGCTTTTCCTGCTTCTTTGCCTTTCTGCTGTTTTGCTTTTGTGCGTTTCCTGTTTCTTTGCTTCTCTGCTTTTTTGCTTCTCTGCTTTTTTTTTGCTTTGCCTGCTTTAAATACTTGATTCTCATGTAAGATGCATTTTGCACAGTGAATTTAACATCCCTGATTATCACAACCAACCTTCTCTTGAAAACGTGCAAACGTACATGTGAGAAGAGGTGACTTGCATTCTGCTTTTGTGGGACGGCGCTGCTCCCTTGTTTTTGGTTTCGACCTAATCCTACATAGGTACCAGCATGAAGTATTGAAGCACATTTATTATGCGCCCTTCAAGTCTCAAGAGGTATATTAGAGTCACCCTGTAGACAAGCCACGTACCGCAACAGCCTGAGTAAACATGCCTGTCATTGGGGAAGCCTCCTTAGCTGATCTTGAAGTAGAACGCTAGGGCCCCCTCTTTCAAGTGGATAAGCGGTCTGTGAATCCCTCATTGCACAAGGTGAGCTCCAGGTGCCCAAGCAATATGGCACAGCCCAGGCTGCCTATGATGATGATGACTTCGACATTGTCGATGCAAATGAATGGAACCAATATGACTCTTATGCAATGAGAAGAGCACCCCAGCATACACAGATTCATATGACGCAACAGATGACCACAAAGGTTGCTCCAGCATATGATGGGAGAACCAGCTTCTTTGCTTTTGAGGATGCAATCGATGACTGGTGTGACATTACGGAGTTAGAACCAGAGAAACGTGGTCCAGCCTTGCGCAACAGACTGGAAGGAGATGCTCAACAATACAAGAGACTATTGGATAGAGAAATGCTCAGGGATCCCTATGAAGGAGTGGCTTATTTCAAAAGATTTCTACGACCTCATTTCATCAAAGGTGCCCAGAACGTGTTCTTATACCGTTTCATGCAGTTCATGAAGTTCAACAGAGGAACCATGGATCTTCAGAAGTGGATGACTAGATTTCAACTCACTGGCAATAGACTTATTGAGTCTTGGATGGATTTACTTCCAGAAGTAACAGTGACTAGTCCTGAAGCAATCCTGTTTGTTCAACAACGACGTCAAGAACATGAACGAGATCAACAAGAAAGAGCTGATGTAGCAGCAGCCTCAGGAACACCCCATGTAGCTGTTCCTTGGACAGATGAACTGGCACTAGCGGCATTCAGACAATTTCAGGAAAATCGTAGACAAGTACAGCGACAAGCATTCCCACTGGGTGAAAATTTGCTAGCATTGATTTTTGTAAGTCTAGCTGACCTGAGTCAAGATCAGAGAAACACACTCACAAGTATCATGACACATCGTGGACGAACCCTCGATCAATACAACATTCAAGAACTACGTGACCTGTTTTTGGAAATGTTTTGCACTACCAAAACAGCAGTTGACAATCCATTGATGCAACCCTCTGGCATGGCACAGAGAAGATCTTTCCTCGTACTGGATGAAGGTGAATTAGAAGGAACCGACGGCTATTGGGCCGAGGATGAAGAAGACGGCGCAGAAGGATTCCTGGATGCTTTAGAAGATGTTTTCTGGGTTTATGATGACGCAAACTTCACATGGTATCAGAGAAGGTTCCAAGGCAAATACATCAGACGAGGCAAAGGTAAAGGAAAGAAAAAAGGAAAAGGAAAAGGCAAAGGAGGACGAAGGTTCTTCAGATCAAGGAAAGGAAAAGGCCGAGGAAAAGGAAGAAGGAAA